GGCGTCCGTGAAACAGGACCTTTTGGTGCACAGTGTGTCCAAAGTAGTGAGAAAAAGCCTCGAGTTGTTGATAGTGCTATCGGAACGACTTTGTGTGTTGTTCAGTGTTCTCGTTAACGAGTGCAGGGGAGTGTTCCGATAGACCGATTTAGGCAGATACTTTTTGCACGCGGCAAGGTTTTATTTGCGAGTTGCGAGACACAATGGATCTCGAAAAGTTAGTTGCGCTTGGTGAGAAGATGGGTCTTTCCGGCGCCGAACTACGGAAATGGGTAGCCAGAAGGAGAAAGAGGCGGTGGAGAGAGAAAGGTTGGCAGCTGAGAGAGCCAAGGAAGAAAAAACAGCTGAGTTGGAACGAGTGAGGTTGGCGGTCGAAAGAGCCAAAGCGGAAAAAGAAGCGGAGTTGGAGAGAGAGAGTTTGGCAGCAGAGAGGGCCAAGGAAGAAAAAGCAGCTGAGTTGGAACGAGAGAGGTTGGCAGCGGAAAGGGTGAAAGAAGAAAGAGAGGCAAAGGAGCGACAGCTGAAGGAAGAAAGAGAGCAGAAATTGAAGTTGGAGCTGGAGAGAGAGAAGTTGGCAGCCGAAAGGGCGATAGAAGAAAGAGAAGCGAGGGAGCGACAGCTGAAAGAAGAAAGAGAGGAAAGGGAGCGGCAGCGGCAGCACGAGATGGAACTCGAGCGGCTCCGTTTGCAACAGCGAAGTGAAACTCCGGTCAAAGCTAGAGTTGAAAGCAGCGAACGGGAAGATCACGGCTTCCGCTTGAACCCAAGCAAGCTGCTCGTAGCGTTTGATGAAAGGAAGGACGACCTTGACGCGTACCTTCACCAATTTGAGACGATTGCGAAGAGCCAGAATTGGCCGGAACATCAATGGGCAACTGCTTTGAGTACTTGCTTGAGTGGTGAAGCGCTCAGTGTGTACGGTAGGCTGACGCCGACCGATGCAGCCAACTACGCAAAGGTGAAAGCTGCTTTGCTGAAGCGATTTGGATTTACGGTGGAAGGATTCCGGGACAGATTTCGGACAAGAATGCCAGCTGATGGTGAGACGGCTACGCAGTATGCCGCCCGACTTTGCCATTATTTCGACAGATGGATTGAACTTTCAGGGACAGCGCGGGAGTACGATGAGCTTAGAGAGCTGCTAATTAGAGAACAATTTCTTACTAGTTGCCACCCAAGCCTGTCACTGTACTTAAAAGAGAGGAAGGCTGACTCACTTGAAGACATGCTTGAATTGGCTTATCAATTCTTGGAAGCGCAAGGTGGCACTAATTTGGCCAAGGTAAAGAAGGAGTGTCCCGATGATTCGAAGAAATTGGCTCCCGAAGAAAAGAAGCGTGCACCAGAGAGCATTCCGCGATGTTTTCTGTGCAACCGAGTGGGTCATCGCGCGAAAAACTGTCGACCGATCTTTACGAGCCCTACGGCAGTAAAATGTTTCAAGTGTGGTCAGACTGGGAACAAAGCAGACGCTTGTCGGAACGGAGTGAGTCAAACTCACCAGGTATCCTGTGTGCAAGTGGCACCGAAATCCGATAATAATGCCGTCACCGACGGATTCGTAGAATTGAAAAATGGGGAGAAAATTCCTATTGTTGGTGCTGTAATGTCAAAACAGCCAACCGGCGTTACGAAAGGAATGCCAACGCTGCCTGGAAAAGTTGCGGACAAAAAGATTACGGTGTTAAGAGATACCGGTAGCTCCACTGTTATCGTGCGGAGAAATTTGGTACGGGAAAGTGAGTTGACAGGCAGAACGAAGCCGGTTTGCCTAATTGACCGTACGGTTCGGATGCTTCCCGAAGCAGAAATTGAGGTTGAAACCCCGTACTTCAGCGGGAAGGTTACTGCTTTATGCATGACGACCCCCCTGTATGACCTTGTCATCGGAAACATCGACGGGGCGCGAGGGCCAAGTGACCCAGAATGTTTGGGAGAAGACCCGAAGATAGAGCCCTCGCCAACTCAGCGGCCGCGAGATACAGTGGAGGAGCAGCCCGTGACGGATCTCACTAGAGCCCAAGGTGAAGCCGCGGCCCAAGAGACAGCGGATGAGAAGATGATCGTGTTGAATGAGCTCACGGGCCGAGCAACTGGACTTACGTCGGCACGACCTCAACCAACCGACAGTGTAAAGGAGACGGAGTTGGCCAGCCGGGCAAAATGTAGAGGCATGATCAAGCGGGTAAATAAACAGACAGGACCCGTCGAATGTAATGACGCGTTAACGGTGTCGGAAGAGACAACGATGGCTGAGACAACGCCTCAGATATCGTCGTTAGAAAGGGCTCACCGAAAAAGAACGTGGAAGCACAAGAAGAGATCGAGCGAGCACCGCAAAAAGGGGCGCAAGCGCTGCTCGAAGTACGCAGGATAAGTGCTGAGGTCAAAGCAGAATGTGGTTGGCAGTGTTGAGTGCCATATGTTGTGTTAATGTTGTGGTATCCTGTGTCACAAGTGTCGAAGTGTTGTGCTGTGATGTGATGTATAGTATTGTACCATTGTTGTAGTGAGAGACTTTGTACATTTGTATTATTGGGAATGTGCGGTGGAGTGTTGTACTCATGTGCTTGTGGTTATGTTTTCACGTGTTGTGTAATTGAATTACAATGTAGAATTGTATTAAGTGATCTATTGTGAATGTGAAGTGTCATGAGCGACTGTTGGTGTTACAGTCTGTGAGAGTGTGTGGTGACTTTTCGCGCTCGTCTGTGTGGTTTTGAATATTATGAGATAATATTCTTAAAGTGGGGGGCAGTGTCACAGAACGAGCGCTAAAAATGAGCGCGACGCCAAATTCTTGCGACAACGGGCGGGAGAAACGCCGCGAAGTCAAAAGATAAAAAAAGGAAAGAAAAAGAAAACAAACGGCCAAGGCTCCCCGGGCGCGCGCTCTCCCCGCAGAAGCGTGGCTTCATCGACGGACCTCCTCACCCCACATCGGCGGCCGAGATAGCCCGCGATGTTTCTAGAACGAAGGAGGCGTGGCCACGCCGAGTTGACTCATCCGACGCGGAGGGCAGTCGAACCGTCTCGCGCCTCTCCCCAGCCTTCGTTGCGCATCACGCCGACGAAATGAGGAGAACTTTCTGGAAGGTGGCACGGAAGGTATTTAACCGAGCAGCCGAGATGAGAGATCAGGAGGAGACGGAAGTTAACGCCAGAGCGCGTAGGGATTCCGCCGTGTAGTCGGCGAAGGTTTTGGTCCGTAGGGACGAAGCCGGAGATGAAGAAGATTTCCACCTGAGGGGTGAAGGCTCGGGCTACAGGCAAGAGCGTGTGTTTACCGCTATCGAGCGAAGACCCGTGGCAACAGCTGCGGGTGTGAAGCCGACGTGTTCCGGCGAAGAAGTTGAAGTTTGAAGAGTGGCCAATTGAAGGCGGGAGGTTTCCTGGAAGAGAAACTTCGAGGGGGCAGCGGAACGACAACAACGCTGGACTTTGAGTGAGTGATTCTCGGAAGAGTATCATTCAGACTTTTGTTCCAAGGACTTTGGACTGAATAGGTTTTCTATCTCTTTAGTCTCTAAGTGTCTTGGTTGTTCAATGCATGCGACTGCATTGTAGTGCGTATTGTTGTCCGTGTCCGTTGTTTCAAGTGTGGCTGATTGTAATGTGTAATACGTTGATTGATTGGTTTGATTGGTGACATATTGTATGCAACTATTGTGGAGTGTGCATTTTTGTGTATTGTTTTCGATCTGCCATTATTGAGAATATAATTTGTTTGTTTATCAACTCTCGGCTCCGACTTGTTCTTTGGGCCACAGCCGGCGTCCGCTGGCGCGCCAAAAAGGACCACTTCTAAATTGTCCACGCTTTCGTGGTGCGGTTCGGGGGGCCGATACTTCGGCCCTTGGAATTAGCCTCCCTAATTAACGGGACCGGTGTGACTTGCGAATGTTATTGCCTGTTTGAATATAAAAAATACGGTCTAAAGATATGAGCCTCCAGTTTTTTCTTCTAGCTGCTAAAGTTTCGCCACCCAGTAATGTTTTTTTTTTAGTTCAGTAAGCAATTGACAAGAAGCGCAGTTACTGAAGACAAATCGTGCAACCTAATTTTTAAGCTTCTGCTTGTATCCACACCACAGAGCCAGGATATGGTTCAAAGTGATCCGATATATTTATTTATATAAACATGATGTAGTGCAAGGTCTTTCCCTAACACGTCTTATATTGCGTGGAAGGAGAGAAGAATAGCGCTAGGCGCCGAAAGATGTCAATTGAACGAGTGCGTGTTTTGATTGATTTGTGGGGTTTAACGTCCCCAAACCTCCATTTGATTATGAGAGACGCCATAGTGGAGGGCTCCCGAAATTTTTACCACCTGGGGTTTTTTAACGTGCACCCAAATCTGAGCACACGGGCCTACAACATTTCCGCCTCCATCAGAAATGCAGCCGCCACAGCCGGGATTCGATCCCACGCCATGCGGGTCACCAGCCGAGTACCTTAGCCACTAGACCACCGTGGCGGGGCCGAGTGCGTATTTTAAAGGAACCCCCATTCATAAAAGTGCTCGAAAATTTTTCGTTATCATCAGCAACAAAAGCATCAACAAAGTGAACAGCGGCGTATAGATTTGCATGTTAACCTGTAGATGCGCAGTGGGCCCTTCGCTGAGATTTGAGATGATTATTTATGGTATAGAGGACACTTAAAAACTACGCTGTATACATAAATGATTCAATTGACCTTGCTTACGGTGTTCGTCACTTATGCATCCCTCGTCAATTCACTGCATGTCTAGAATATGTAACGTTAGTGAGCCGCATTAACAGGCGTAGGGTAGAGTGCGGAAAGCTGCATCGTGTTGTTGTTTAAAACTGCACGCCATCTTTTTTTTACGAGAGGGCAGTTCACCTTTAAACGCCCATGTATGCCGGGAAGAGGCATTGGGTCAAAAAAAAGAAGTAGTGAACCACACTCACAGTAAAACCTTATAATTAACATTTCATGAAACTTCAAGTACACTTTGAGAAATTTCGCTCGGTGCAGGTCGCCGATAAATGAAGTTCAGATCTACTACAACTCGACAAAAACGAGAAGTGGTCCCATCAACTATGGGGAAAGCCTCTACGTTCACCCAAGCTTCAACAAGAAGACTGCCATCAAATATGACATAGCGCTTGTGAAGGTAAGCTATCATGTTGTCTCTTAATGGGTGTTGGGAAAATTTAAAGCTCTATAAGTACTACTATAGGTTTGTTTGAAACGAAGACCCATAAATTATTAAACGAATACGAGACAGAAGAGTAATATATGAAATTTATTCGTGTGCATGGTCCAAGTCTAACGTGGACTTGTGACAAATAAAACAACACACACACGCGCACTCGTCATCATCATCATCATAGTCAGCTTGACTACGCCCACTGATTGGGTAAAGGCCTCTCCTATGCTCCGCTGAACAACCCGGTCTTCTGATTTCTGCTGCCACGTTATACCTGCAAATTTCTTAATCTCATCGGTCCACATAACTTTCTATCTCCTCTTCGTGCGTTCGCCTTCTTTGGGAATACAGTGAGGTACACCAAATGACCAGTGGTTATCCTGCCTACGTGTTCGCCCGATGTTCATTTCTTCTTCCTGCTTTGAACACACACACACACACACACACACACACACACACACACACACACACACACACACACACACACACACACACACACACATATATATATATATATATATATATATATATATATATATAATATATATATATATATATATATATATATATATATATGTATATATATACATATAGTCTAGTAGATCCTCCGTGAGCGGTCACAGCGTGGTTTATTTCGACGTTTCGGCCTAGAGTCTGGCCTTCATCAGGATCTACTAGACACTATGCAACGCTTCGGCCACTCAACCACCATGCCTGCCTATATATATATATATATATATATATATATATATATATATATATATATATATATATATGTATATATATATATATATATATTGTGATGTAACGGTGAAGGCAACCTTTATTAGGCCCAGAAGACACGATGAAGATGAACATGGTTTGACAGGCGCAGAGAAGAACGAAACATCGAGGAAAGAAGTGGGGAAGCGACCATGGACGAGGTAGAACGGCGAGTAACCAGTTGTGCGCTGTACAGAGGTATTATACGCAAAAGTGACAAATGGCAAAATGGTGTCCCAGTTTCTGTGGTCGGGTTTGATATACATCGCTATCATATCTGACAGTGTACGATGAAAGCGCTCAGTCAGGCCGTTCGTCTGAGGATGGTAACGGGAGCTTGTTTTGTGTGTAGATCCGGATGCCTTGTGCACTTCTTCGACGAGTTCTGAAAGAAATACTCTTCCACGGTCGCTCAGGATTACACGAGGAGCTCCGTGTCGAAGGATTATTGCTCGAAGGATGAAGTCGGCCCCTTCCGAAGCTCATGCAGAAGGCACGGGAGCTGTTTAGGCGTAGCGGGTCAGGTGGTCGACAGCTGTAACCATCCATCGATTGCCCGTGACAATCATAGGAAGCGGACCATACAGGTCAATGCCAACTACCTCGAATGGTTGCAGGGGACATGGGAGCGGTTGTCATTGTCCACTTCGAGTTGATGTAGGTAGCTTGCGACGCTGACAAAGGGCGCATGAGGCAACGTACTTCGCGACACAGGTGGACAAGCCCGGCCAGTAGTAGTGACATCTTATGCGGTCATACGTTTTCAGGAAGCCCGTGTGTCCAGCAGACATGTCGTCGTGATATGTCTTGAGGACTTGAGCCCGAAGAGAGCGAGGTAGAACGGGCACCCAGCATTGACCTGCAGGGTGGTAGATATGACGGTACAGGACATGGTCGTTGAGCTTGAATTGCGTCAGCTGTCGGCGAAAATGGGCGTTAGGGGGTCGGCAAGTCCCGTCAAGACGGTCCATGATGCGGCGACAGTAAGGGTCAGCACGTTGGTGCGATAAGAAGAAACCACACTCGTTTGGAGAAGTTGGGTCCACAGTAGCTAATGACGAAACATGTAGGAAAGAGACGGCCGAAAGCTTCTTGAGTGCGGCAGTGGCGGGTTTGTTAAGTGGCTCCGAAGAGAGCGGGCAACGCGAAAATGCGTCGGCGTCTTGATGCTTGTTTCCCGGACTTGTATGTGATCGTGAGGTCGTATTCTTGTAAACAAAGAATCCAGAGACAAAGGCGGCCGGACAAGTTCTTGATTGTCGAGAGCCAGCACAAGGCGTGATGGTCCGTAACAACAGGAAAGTGGTGGCCGTGGAGATAAGGTCGAAACTTTTGTATCGACCATACGACCGCTAGGCACTCCTATTCGGTGACGGTATAATTCTTTTCGACAGGGGTGAGTGCATGGCTCGCGTATGTGGGACTTTCTCACGTGAAGATTTGTCTCGCTGCAGGAGAATTCCACCAATGCCTCAACCACTAGCGTCTGTATGCAGGAGCGTAGGCGCGGTTTCGTCGAAATGACAGAGGACTGGTTCAAATGTGAGTGCACACTTCAGTTGGGCAAACGCTGCTTCACATTCAGGAGTCCACACAAAGGCGACACCTGATCCGAGCAACTTGTGCAATGGTGAAGCTATTGAGGCGAAGTCTCGAATGAATCGGCGAAAGTAAGAAGCGAGGCCGAGGAAACTGCGCAAATCTTTGGCTTTTTCAGGACGTGGGAAGTGTTGGACAGCGGAAATCTTGTCAGGATCGGGACGATTACCGTCCGTGCTTACGATGTGGCCTAACACTTTAATAGTCTTGCTCGCAAAACGGCACTTCTTGGTGTTCAGCTGAAGGCCTGCGTTTGCAAGGCACGTAAGAACTTCGTCCAGGCGTTGCAAGTGCTGAGGGAAGATTGACGAAAAAATAACGATATTGTCTGAATAGCACAAGCAAGTCTTCCACTTCAAGCCTCGTAAAACTGTGTCGATCATCCGCTCGAATGTTGCTGGAGCAATTGCAAAGGCCGAATGGCATGACGTTTAATTCGTACAGCCCATCTGGTGTTGAAAACGCTGTCTTTTCTTTGTCATCCTCGTGCATGGGTATTTGCCAGTACCCTGAACGCAGGTCTAGGCTTGAGATGTACTCAGCACTTTGCAGTGAATCCAAAGCATCGTCAATGCGCGGCATGAGGTAAACATCCTCGTGGGTAATCTTATTAAGTGCTCTGTAGTCCACGCAAAATCGCACGGAGCCATATTTTTTCCTTACTAAAACAACAGAGGATGACCAAGGACTCGCGGAGGGACGTATAATGTTCCGTTGCAGCATATCGGCTACATTTTGTTCAATGATCTCACGCTCGGACGAAGAGACGCGATATGGTCGACGGCGTACGATGGAAGTGCTATCGGTCTGGATACGATGCCTAATAATGGACGTCTGTCCCAGAGATGAGGAATGGGCATCGAACTATATCCTATGCTTTTGTAGCAAGGCAAGCAACTCATCTGTCTGTGAAGAGGTCAGTTCTGGACTAATAGTCGCAGCAAGAACAGAAACGCTTGCTTGAACGTCAAATAGAAGGAAGGTCAGAACACGCTGGCATAAGCGGCACAACAGAGACAGGTTGAGATTCAGAAACGCAAGCCATTGTGGAATCAGAATTTTCTCAGAAGTCTGGTTTGTGGCGTAGAGAAGTCCGGAGCCATTGTGAAATCGCGCTAGACCTGAAAAGGACTCTACCTCTTGCGAGACAGCGTGCGGATGGTTGGACAAACATGTCACTAGATTCGATCACAATAGAGGTGATGGCAACTATTTGCTGATGACCAGGTGGTAGCTCGGTATCTTCAGCAGCGAGCATGCGAACGGGCTTGTCATTCGCATACAGGGCATAGTCAGTTTCCATCATATGAACAACATTTTCTCGACAGCAGATGGAAGCGTTCGCCGTAGACAGAAAATCCCAGCCTAATATAAGCTGGTGCGCACACGAACTCAGCACAGCAAATTGCACAAAATGAAGAAGACCAGCTATGAAAACTCGAGTGGTGCACATAGCGGCAGGTCTAATGGCGTCCCCTTGAGCAGCGTGCAGTGTAGGTCTATCATAAGGGGTGGTGACTTTTCGCAGACGTGAGCACAAAGAACGATCAATCACATACAAACAAGCACCAGTGTCTATTAAAGAGTCCACGTACACACCTTCTGTTAAAACAGATATCGTACTATATGGACGCACTGGTGGAATTTCCGTCTTTTCGTTCGATGCAGCTTTTCCTCCAAAAGCTGCAGAGATTAGTTTTCCGGGCGTTGGTTGGTGAATTGCGAGACAGGTCGCAATGGAGACGTGGAGCGGTGGAGGGGTGAGGGTGAGTGGTGTCTAGTAGAGCGGTAAGAACTGGTTGGCTCAGATGTCACAGTTGGAGACGGTGAGCGACGTAGCGGCGGATCATAAGGACGACGTTGGAAAGCGTACCAGCTTGTCCCATCATCCCGTCCGTAGGTGTCGAATCCACGACGCTCGTCCTGCTGACGCTTCCGACAGACGCGTGCGACTGTGGCCCCGATAGCCGCAGTAATAACAGATCGGACGAGGCGGGCGCCACGGTGGGTGAAAGGGCTGGCTAGGCGCACTCGGAGTCAACGAAGCCAGCGTGACAGGCGTCGAGTGTGCGGCCATCGGTTGTACGACGGGTGGTGAGCCAGCGAGGACTTGTGCGTACGTCGGCTGGAGTCGAGGTACTGGAGAGTCTACATACGCTGGCCTGGTCATGGACGCCAACTCCACTTTGATGACGTCACGCAAAGATGTGTTGGAGGGGGAAGGTGGAACTCGGTGTCATTGAGATGCCGAAAGATTGCAGCTCTTTCCGTATAATCGCCCGGATCATGGCACGCAATGAGGCATCAGTCGTGGTGGTGTTTTCAGCGCTGTCCTGTGGTAACCGTTGGGATTCAAGTTCCTCTAGGCGTTGGCACGTGGCAACAACCTCGGCGACTGTAGTCGGGTTTTGAATGACCCAGGCATTGAACGCGACCATGTCGATCCCTTTCAATAGATGACGAACTCTCTCTGATTCAGACATGGACGTGCTGAAACGGTGACAGAGAGCAAGCACATCCTCTATGTACGATGTGTAGGACTCACCGCATTGTTGCTTGCGAGCATCCAGTGTCTTCTTCGCGAGAGCTGAACGAACCACCGGGGTGCGGAAAATTTGGCGAAGCTGTTGCTTGAAACGCGTTCAGTCCGTAATGTCCGTTTCATGATTGAAAACCATGTTTTCGCTACGCCTGTCAGATAAAAGGAAGCACGTACGACGAAGCTTGGTGGGATCATCCCAGTTGTTAGTGGAACTCGCTCGATTGAACTGGTCCAACCAATCCTCCACATCTTCACCTCGAAGTCCGGCGAATGTGGGCGGCTCACGCTGGTGCGCGGTGATAATTAACGATGGATAGGCCGCGGTAGCCGGGGCCGTGGAGGTAGACGCAGAAGTGCTGGTTGGCTCGTCCTGAGGCATGTTACCGTACACCTGGCACGAACGACGACCTGAGCGGAGCTCCAGGAGGCAGATCGGGCTGGGAGAGGACGGAAGATCGGAGAATACACTCCACCGCTTGTGATGTAACGGTGAAGGCAACCTTTATTAGGCCCAGAGGACACGATGAAGTGACCACGCCCAAGGCACAGAACTCAGACAAGCCAAGTCCCCACAGCAGATGAAGATGACGACCACTCATGATGATGAATATGTGGAAAGATAGTGGATGTACTTAATGAATGGCTACAATATATATATATATATATATATATTTGTGTGTGTGTGTTGATAAAAACCAAGAATTTTCTGTTTTCATCAGCTTCATTCAACACATTGAAATTGTTTGTTCAAAGTCTCATGCTCCAATAATGTCAGTTACTTGTAAATGCAAATGAAGAGAATCACAACGGCCACGGCACAACGCGACTTTTTCTCCTTCTGTTTGCTACACAGCACCATCTCCCGCTATCGTCTCCACACCAGCGGCAGTCCCTGCGCATGGCCTTATGTTTTGTATTGACACACGATACGGTATTGGCTGTGTGGGATTCTGTCGACGAGGTTTTCCACAGCATTCCAGGGGAGATTTTAAAACATCCAACTACTAAAAAGTGTTCAGCCCGACTGCACTGCTGACGCTGAAATCGCTCTAATTAGCCAAAGCGCAGCGCGTGAAAGTAGAGTGTCTGGGGAATAATTGGCTTTCACGTTTAGAGCACGCTTGCGTACCAAGCAGTTCGCAAGCAGCAGAAGAGACAGCGCTTGCCCGGGTGCATGCTTGCGTAATGAGCTTGAAGACGGAGGGTGTTTTAATTGAGCAGCCGGTTGCATGCCTCCAATCACTCTATCTTTTCCTTCCCAAATAGATGAAGTGAAGAGAGGTTGTGGTTGCCCACAATCCCACTTGAAGGCGCGGCAAGCAGTCGCTGGAGCATGCAGGCCACGCGGTTGCGTGTTCCCTTTCAGAAATATTGCTACAGTACGTAGGAGAAACACCAGTTGGTACAAGTGGAAGCTGCACAACCTGGCCGATCAATGCCTACAAGTCATCAGACGCTAATGCTAGGAGAAGGAAAGGCCACCTAAGCGCGTCATGAGCAACTCGAACCACCACGTGGCTGTGCAAGAGTATGAAAACGTTTCTTCTCAGGCGCTCCTGAGTGTCGTGAAGCAGTACTTCACTGTATTGTTACAACGCGGCAACGTCACCACCGCCGACCAAAGAATTCTGTCACAAGATTAAGGCTCAGGATATAAAATGCGAGTTTTCGAAGCACCGTGCATGTTCTTCAGGAGGGCAGCGGGTAGAGCGCTCATTACCCGTTTTCATGAACTGAGAGGTCATGGGCTTAACTCCCGTGTCATCGGCGTCTACGGCAGTTTTCTTCAATATTTTCTTTGTCGTATCGTTGTGCCCATTCTTCCAGGATAATGGCAATCATGAAAATGACGTAAGTTTGGGTAGGCACCGATATGAAAAAAATAAAGACTATGAAAAAGAGCAGCTGGGAAAGAGCGTTTACATGCACCAGCGGTAGCATGTGTCTCGGTGATGTATGTTTTCGCTACCATATAGTGTGACCCAATGAACTGCGAGAAACTGAAAATAGTTGAACGTCTACATAGCGTAGCGAATGAATCAAATAAATTGACTGAGCCCAGATTGGTCGTCAAGAGCAATGCTAACAAAGGAAAGTGAAAATGACGCTGTCCGAAAGTGGAGAACGTACCAAGAGCTGAGCATTCACGGTGCAGATGAGAGCAGTAGGTGCCTACAACAAAAAAAAAAACGCGAATGTAGCACCACCGGTAAACCTTAGTTACTTTCACTATGCGTGTATAAAATGCTTCTTACTTGAGATAAAGCTCTGGAGGTGCACAGTACCACTCATAATGCAATAATTGACAGCGGTGATTTTTTTAAAGCTCTAGGTGATCTTGCATGCCACAGTTTAACTGAGCCTTCTAGTGTAATGTGTATTTGTGTTGCATTGTCTCTTATCTATGCTTGGCCTGATTGTAAAGACTCGGTATTCTTGTTGCAGGTTAGGGAATATTTTAAGTTCGATAGATTCGTTCGACCGGTTTGTCTCGCCAAGCATAACATATATCTGGGACACACACCACTTCTGTCCGGTGGCTGGGGAATCATTGATGATCGTAAGTTGTGTGTCTTTGATTACCTGACATTTTAGAGGTATTAGATTGTCGCCTTCTTTAATGCAAGAAAAGGTGTTCTTTCGCTATATTTTACAGTATTCCCATTTTTTTATTTATAAGCGAGTTATGCCTAATAAAAGTTGGTCCGAATCTACATGCTACACTATAAATGTCGTCGAAAGACGATAGGCTCGCGTCTGGACAGAGTGAACAAAACTTTTATTTGATGTTCTGCGCAAGAAAATCGATGAATGGTATTCCGGAGGCGCTGCGTCATAGTGCCTCGAGCGAGTAACGGAAGCGAACAAGCGCATCTAGACACGTTAGGCACAAGCGCCATCTGACAGTTATCTTCGAAAAGAAAGGCGTGCGCGACCGCGGAGAAAGATGCGCGCCAGTCACGGAGGTGGTAAGGTGTGGAATTCAAAGTGACCGGCAGGTGCCACCACCATGCCATCGTAGCAAAGCGTTGGAAGTACCTTCTTGAGCATCGCGTTGCACTGTCAGCGCAGCGCGTCAAACGCTACAGTCCTTAGAGTTATTTGTGTGTGCCTCTTCTTGTATAAAGGCAGACATACAAAACATCAACAAGTTGTTAAGGCGCCTCAGATATGCGCAATATTTGCTCTTTTAATTGATAATTGCACAACAATAAGCGCTAAACCTTGAGCAATATAGGTGGGCGTTGCGGATGGGGTTGTCCGTTTGGTGCCGTTTGAGGTATCGTTAGGGCGGATAAACAGACAAATGTACAGACAGACAGACCAAAATTTTTCTGTCGAAGGACCCCAAGAAAGACTATCGTCTTTAAAACAAAAACAGAATCAACGTTATTCGCACGTGATATCTTCAGCACATCCTCTCTAAGATGCTCCTTTAACAGCACGTTTCTTTTGCTTCGATCGCCACACCACCCTTGGGTATATGTGTTTTCCTGAAGTAATGACGGTCATCACCAACTCCTTTAGGTATGGACATGTTCTGTGGCACATTTTTATCTATATTGCATGCTTATCTAATTCTTGTGATGTGTTTATAAGCTATACTTATTGAAACAATTTTCTACCGCTTTTTCAATCTTGAAGCCTGCTTACAGTTACCCGTTGTCACCCATCACATCATCGCTGACAGATAAGTTTCCTGAAGCGTGAGCTCATACATGTTACTGCAGTGAGAAGTGCGAAAACGGGACTTAAACGGACGAAAAGACAACACAGCGCTTGTGCTGTTTTCGCGCTGTTCACTCCAGTACAATGGCTTAGTACTCTCTGGCGACAACAGGCCCTCGCGCCAGCAAACACCACATTCGCGTAATCATCATGCATGCTCGCTCACATGTATAAATGGTAATTTCCCTTCTTCGTACTCGCAGGAAATCCTCCCACGTTTGCGGAAAATCTGCTGTACACCATGGTTCGAGCTATGTCAGCATCGAAGTGCAAGAAAATTCTGAAACGCTTCCGTGGTGCCGGTGTTGGTGGAGTGGATGACAAGCTTATGACCTGTTTAGAAGGATACAACGGAACTCTTTGCGGAGTAAGTAGTGGTTCTTCGCACAAATAGCACATTGTACGCCGAAAGATGACTCAAGTTAATTCATGGAAAGAGATAGATGGCGGATGTTATCATGAGAGTAAAGCAGATAGGTCGGCCTGAATAAATTTTCTTAACTGCTTCTCTAGCGTTAAGTAAGGTCGGTTGGCTGGTTGTTCCTCAGAGTCCTGGCGCAACCCGCCACGGGGGATCGGCAATGAAACGGATCGTACCTCATTTGTGAGGTGGAGTTGTTTTACCAGCCGGATTATTTAGATAACGATGTTTAAATAAAGAACCAATTGGTAAACGATAGATTAGAAATAAACTAGAGGTAATACAAAGAACGAACAGGCTAATATGATTTGAAATAAAGTGAATTTATGCCTCAGCTTAACATTCTAATCGTTTTGTTGCCTTTAGAAAATTGCATACGGCCTCGCAAACATTCCTGTGGCTACATCCTTTCTCAGTTGCTCCAAAGGAGAAGATCACCGGAAGGGATAAACTTAGAGCCAACCTACAGAGAGGTTCTTCTAACAGTCTCTTCCTTTGGTTTGTGTATAACCTGCATGTTAAGAGGAAATGGTGAAGGGATTCACTCTCGTTGCAGTGGAGGCATAGGGCAGTCTGTGCCAGACCAGACCTTTGTAGATAAAAGTTCAGGGGGGCGGGTGGAGACTCGGCATCTTAGTCTCGTAATTGATATCTCCGCCGTTCTAAAGGAGCATCATCGATTTTTCCAAGGGTACTTTAGATGGGAAAAATCCGATGTTGCCAAGCGAGATTTTCCAAACTGATCTGACATGACAAATTTTTCAAAGCGTGCAAAATGGCGTTTCAATCCATCATCACCTTCATCCTCATCGTCAATCTTTTGAGGAACTTATTGCACATGTGGTGGTAATGAGCACCAATAAATACTTCCAAACCAACTTTTCCAAGTAACTCTTTTACTTACTAGATCATGGTCGCTCTGCAAGTACACAATTCAGTGGGTACTTGTGACTCTCGGTGGCAGCAGAATGCAGCCCGCTAGTTCAAAGACGTTTGTAATTGTATTAGGGCAACTTCATGGCTTGGCCAACTGTGGTTAAAGATAAGGTGACATATGGCCCGCAAATACTTTTGAACATCTACTCTTCTTTCTCTTGAATCACACGCCACTTTTCAAGCCTTTGACCCTGACAAAGAAAGACTATTTTGCTACCAATCTGGCATCTGTGAACAATTGTCGCCAGAATCACAAAATAGTAATGGAACACAATTGCTATGAGGACAATATTAGGAAAGAAGAGTGCGAGCATTTAGAGCTAAGCAAGGCACCTACTTTCGTTTCTACCAGCATATGCAATTCATTTCAGCACCCCTGTTCATGTATTATCGGTATAGATCTTGCTCGAACACTAATATCTGTGCGGACGTTGCATTCTGCGTCAGATTTGCTAACAACGCAATCAGAACCATCGAAAAGTGAAGGCATTGCCCACTTTGACTCGGAGTTAAGCAGTTTCTCCAGTATTTCTAACTGTTTTATCAGTTTTTATCGTTTCTTTGATTAGATGAGACGACAGATTGCGCAGTGTAGAACTGACTACTGTATTTGTGAATCCAAAGCACCAACTTTGTGACTAATTCATTGAAGCGTGTCTTTCTTTGATAATACGCCCAAATAGCCTTGGCTAATTTATGGCATCTTCCTTGCTACCGAAGCCCCCATGTGAGCTGCCTTTCATACCTCATTGGTTCCGCCGAACCCATTCTCACCCCTGAGGTGAGTAGACCATTGTTACGCGAACCATATCGAATGCATAGGGTGATGCAACGGCACGTTTCTGTAAAAAGACAAAAAAAAAGCCGTTTACCAGAAGAGCGCAAGAACAAATTAAAAATTAAAAAATAAAATATAGGCCAAGGTATGGGAACCCCGATAACACGTAACTACTAAAGTGTGGCGAAGCGTACAATGCGACAAAGAGATGCAGGCTTTCTGCCGCAGAGACCATCCCTACAACGCATGCGTGACCCTCGTGCTCCTCTCCCGCTTCCCTTTCTCTTTCGAGTCGCCGGCAAAGGAAACGCAAAGCCTTCTCAGCAGCGCCGCGTCCACGTCTCCATGGTCCCCTTGACCGGGAGATGGTGTGAATTTGGGGGGATGGGAGGAGGGCCTCGATTATTTGTTACTTTTCAGTAATGTAGTCTCCTAACGAAACAGGTTTTTGGTTAGTTTTTGATACATCCTCATCAAAAATGTTTAGCGCTACAAATCCTTCACACGCCCCGCCGTGGTGGTCTAGTGGCTAACGTACTCGGCTGCTGACCCGCAGGTCGCGGGTTCGAATCCCGGCTGCGGCGGCTGCATTTCCGATGGAGGCGGAAATGTTGTAGGTCCGTGTGCTCAGATTTGGGTGCACGTTAAAGAACCCCAGGTGGTCAAAATTTCCGGAACCCTCCACTACGGCGTCTCTCATAATCATATGGTGGTTTTGGGACGTTAAACCCCACATATCAAAACGAATCCATCACAATTACGCATTGTAATTCGAAATGCATGCCTGTCATTTCAATAAAGTACCTAGAGTTTCTGCCCAGCCAGTGATAATCTTTTTCTATGCTATCCTTGTTAAATACAGAGCCACAACATTTTAAATAAGGTAATCAACTGTAATCATCGCACCAGCGTAGACTTAAGTGAGCAAGCTTGTTTACAGTGCACTATCATGAATACCAGGGGTAGGATGCCCAGGATAACAGTGAAGGCCATCTTGAATTGTTTAGACGTTCAGGCTCTTGTTTTTGCTTCTCTGCAGAGTGATTCGGGAGGACCGATAACATTGAGACGCAAAGGACATTCCATGCAAGTTGGCGTCCTCAGCCTTGGGTCAACTTGCAACAATCACACTAAATTACTAATTGTTATTCGTGTTGCCAAGTTTGTGCGGTGGATTAAAGTAGCGCTCCACCATCCTCAACGATGGCGAGTCCTTACAGGTGGCAAGGACGGTTCGGGCGACCAGAAATGTAACTGTTGCTTGATTATCAAATAATCTACAATAAATCGGGTAACATACCACGTGCGGCGTGTCGTATATGGTTTATTGCGTCGGAGCGCTGCATTGTGACGAAAGGTGTCCTATCGATAAGATGACAAGCTTTCGTAGCTTTCTTTTTAAACATGAGTGAGGTTTATAGGAATTCTGATTTCTCAAATGCGCTGAAAGTTATACACGCATAAACGAAAACCATCTATGATATACTTCATTTTAAGATTAGCGATGATTTGCCATTCAGAAACACAAGTGTAGTAGTCCTGAACGTTCACTTTTATTTCGTCTGAATATCGGCTTTAAAAATTCGTCATTGCAAAAGAAACAGAAAGACCTCCGGCTCTAAAATAAGATAAATGGCTGCGTATTTGCGTGCTTTACTGAAAAACTCTTCGAAAGATGATAGGCTTCTGTATGAAGGCGCTGCTTGAGATATAAACGCCATCTGGCAGTAAGGTTGGGCAATAGGAGCCTCACAGAGGTAGGTTCACTAGCAGGGGGCAGAACCATGTTGTTGAGAAGCGGTTTTTCGGGTATGGCGTCGCATTTTAAGCGCAGTGTTAAAATAACTAGCGTCATCGCGACGGTCACATCACTAAAGTTCGGGCAGTTGAGTAGAGTTGGAAGCGAACCAAGCTGTCTGGTTATCTTGACTCGAGACAGTGTCTTTCGGTCCCGTGAGTGGGCTGAGAATAAACATCGTCATCCAACCGGTTAGCAGATCCCTACCTGCCTTGCGGGCGCGCTCGATCACGCACCCATCTGTTAGCCTATAAATGACCAATGCGGTACCACCACCTGGCCGGGTCATGTGCAGTGCGTCGGTCTCGCAATCATGGCTCTGGTTGCGTGTTTAGGAGTAACAATACTATATGGCATCTTCCTGCATCGGTCACTCGTGAAAACTTTGTCTTCTGCGAGGCTGTGGCTCGACGAACTTTTCACATATGCATCTAAGTTGACTTTACAGCAAAGCCGTGTCAGTTGGCCCCGTGCCGTTTACCTCAGTGGCGTTACAGTGGTCACAATCACTGGATGAGAGTTTAGCTCGGCGAAAAACATGGAGAGCTATGCCACGCCGAAAGAGGCCCGGTGGAAAAAGAAAACAGCCCGCCAAGTCATTCAATTTTACACAGCGCAGCCTGAGACATGCGCCGGCATGTATAAAGGGGTGGTGGCACCAATTTTTGAGGTTATTCCAAGCCTGCTGTGGGTTTCCCCTCTATGCAAGGACTCTCTATAAGAAAGGTTGGACAAAATAAAAGCGTAGAATACATTTTATATCACTTTTAAAAGTGTAGCTGTATGCCCGCCCGCACGATATAGAGCAATCGCTTGCGCAGCAACACTGACGTTTAAGAATAGAAGAAGCAACAGCAGTCGTCGTGATGTCACACCAGATCAATAGTGACGAGTGTGATGGCGTCCCTTTCAGAGAAACTGTGTGCATCCGTCAAGGATACTGGGTGCTTTAGAAGAGACACTCGACGCATCCTTGTCTGTCAGAGACGCCGCGCTTGTGCAACATCGGGGCTGCTCTATGCTCCTTCAGCATATCGGCATCTATAGAATGCCGGCGCACCTACCGTCGGCCAGCTTTCCCGTCCACGTTGTGTACATACGTTGTAAATATAAACGCGTTGTTTCCTTGTGGCTGCCTTTTGTCTTGCAATTGCCTGGATGCCACTGCAGCTGCCCATGGCGATTGTCAGTGCGTTTGGTTTGCTGGCGCTTGTGTGGCGCGTGCGTGTGAGAGCAGACGAAACTCAGCACGATGCGCGTCACAGCTTTTGTGTGGTCACATTACCAAGCCACCCATGCGTGGACGTCACTGCCAAACTCGGCGCCGCGAAACCGAAACCGAAATTGATCCACAAAAGTACAGCAATATTAAACTATTAAGCGGAAATACAAGAATCTTGGTGCGTGTATCACGCTTTCTGGAGCTGAAGGAAACGCTTACAGCAAAGAACATGCATTCCAAAAATTTGGTGTCACCACTCCTTTAAAATCAATGACATATTCAACATACATTCGACCTATGCTTTAATACGCTTGTGCTGTGTGGGACCCCCGGGCAAAGTACTTTAAGTGACAAACTTGAAAGAATACAAAATAGAGCTGCAAGGTTTCTTCTAAGTCGGTACTCGAGAAATGACAGTTGCATTAATATAAAAAAAAGTTAGGATGGGAGTTACTCTCGTTGCGTCGAAAGGAACTGCGGCTAAAGCTCTTCTACCAAATATTTCTTTGTAAAACCAGCTTTTGAAAAGGAAATTATCTTCACAGCCCTTATTATATTTCTTCACGAAATGATCATTGTTTCAAAAATCTAGAGTACCGTACCAGATCTCATTCGTATGCTTATTGGTTTTTGCTAGTTGCATTAGAGAATGGAATCGCTTATCTAATGAACAAGTGTGCTGTATAAATAGAGATGTGTTTTTCTCAACATTGTAACCCCCTTTCTGCAGAGCCTTCGGGCTAAGCGGTGTAATCATTAAAAGGGAAATAAAAAAAACAAGGTACCTGACATATAGGAGAGAGAGCAAGGCTCAGCCCGAATGTGGTAGGAAAGTGGCGTGCCATGCGATTTCAGCCGGAAAGGGTCAAACACTGACGCCCTTTAGCAACTTACTGAAATACGGTACGCAAATGCGGTAAGGCAGTACGGTAGCACTCCTCTTTTCCAGTGACAGTGCGTCTCGAATGATAGGTGGTTCTAGGTTAAAAATGCTTAAGCTGCCAGGCCACAATTCCGACAGGCCGCAACGAAACGCGATACTGAGAACAATTTTTGAAAAAGCTCTTGGGTTCTATACTATCACTAATATATGGTCAGCGACCGCAAGAAACAGCGCGGTTATACTATACCGTATTTGCCTCCTGTATTTCTCTAACGTGCGAATAGAAATATTGCCGCATTGGATATGCAGCACCAAGAGAACAACGAAGAACACGCGCAGCGGGAGAAAAAAGAAGAGGTTCACTTCCGATCAGTTTGCCAGTGTTATGGTACAATTAAAGTGAGGAGTTTCCTGTATTTAACTGCTGCTGTTTCTGCATTGTGACACTGGTGGAGGTGCTGGGTACATGTTCGGGACGCCTGACAACAGCTCCGCATCTGGTCAAGAAAGACTTCCGCGCATCGACACCCCCGTTCACCGCAGCAGCCGGCGCCTGTTAGGCCTCAGCCCGGAGTTTGGTCCATTGCCGGAAAGCGCGACTGCGCCAAAAAGCATGACGGCGCCTGGAAGCACTGGCCCCAACATGTCCAGCCCAAGCATGACACAGGTAACTGTTTTGAACCCTCTACTTCCGGTTGACTTCCACGGAAACGCATATGAGGACGCACAAGACTGGCTCAAGGAATTCGAGCACACAGCGAATGTTAACGGGTGGAACACCACTCAGAAATTGGGCTACGTTTATTTTACGCTTCAAGGTGGAGCGCGAACATGGTTCACGAATCGCGTGTGGTCATCTTGGCACGAGTTCCGGCAGAAGTTCCTCGACACGTTCGCGAGCACTGAAAGACGAGAAATCGGACAGCGTCTCTTCGAGTCACGGATTCAAAAACCAAATGAATCCGTCACGACGTTTGTTGAGGACATGGCGCGGCTGCTTCGTCGAGCAGATCCTAATATGCCGGAAGCCAAAAAGGTTAGCCACCTCATGCGGGGCGTCAAGGAGCAGCTCTTCGCTGGTCTCGTACGAAACCCGCCTACAAGAGTGGAGGAATTCTCCAAGGAGGCGACATCTATCGAACGCGCACTGCATCTACGTTATCGCCAGTATGACCGCCCAACCCACAGTGCACCGATCAGCGTGGCAGCCACGACCATAGCAACAACACCCGACGAATGTTCTTTGCACCAACTAATACGAGAAATCGTACAAGAAGAGGTCAAGACGCTCGTCGCCAAACCGAATGACTGCGCGATGGCCTCAGCAACGGAAGTTGTACGCCAGGAGATCAAGCAAGCGCTCTCGCTTCCTGAGCCGAACACGAGCACTCCCAGGGCAAGCTATGCAGACATAGTCCGCCGACAGCCAGCGAACGTGCCGACACCACATCAGTACCACCAGCAACATCCGCCGACAGCGCCTTGGTACTACAGAGAAACTTCGACGCCGAGGCGGCCACCACTTCGCAAAACTAACATCTGGCGTACCCCTGATCATAGGCCCCTGTGTTTTCACCGTGGGGAAGCAGGCCACATCGTTCGGTATTGCCCGTATCGCGCCGCAGGGTACCAAGTGTTTCCTTCCACTGTTCCTCGGCGCCATTTCAACGGAACACCTGACTTCGATGCGAGTGTCATGACCCCGCGGGATGTTCCTCTTGGGTTTCGGTCGCGCTCACCCTCTCCTGGGCGTTATTCTCCATCCTCTAGACAGAGCACCACTGACATGCCAAGAGGGAGATCTCCTAGTCCACGCCGGGGAAACAAAAAGCAGCGACCTCAGGGGGGAAGGTTGCGAATCGTCGAAGTGCTGAAGATCCCCCAATACTGCCGTGCAAAGAGAGACACATTTTCAATGAATGGACGAAAGATGGGGTTGTTACTGCCGAAGTTTTAATTACGATTGACGGACATGACGTCATGGCATTGGTCGACACTGGCGCGGACTTCTCAATAATGAGTGAGAGTTTGGCAGACACGCTCAGGAAGGTTAGAATGGATGAAAAGGACCGCAGATTAGAGGAGCTGGAGGGCAGCTACTCACACCTACCGGAAAGTGCACCGTAAGAATTAAGATAGGGGATGCATCCTTCGTCGCAACTTTCGTTATTCTTTCTGAGTGTTGCAAACAGGCATTCTTGGGGATAGGTTTCTTGCGTGAATATGGTGCCATCATCAATATACCGTACGGTGTACTGACATCTTCAGCGGATCAAAGCGCCGCACTACACCGAAAATCCCTGCGAGTCATTGACGATGTGACCGTACCTCCGTTACAGTGCTGCCTTGTTTCAGTCACGTGCAGCGAGCAGAATACTGGAGAAGGAATCGCTGAACAAGTAT